AAATCGAAGCGGTCTTTTATTTCTAGAACATTGTCAAAAAGTCGATAGGGGCTTGTAATAGTAGAAGGTCTTCTATTCGTAAAAATCCGTTGGATTTCGAAGCTGTTCTATGGACTTTTCGTGAACACTGCTCCTTAGAATTCAACACTTCCGTTGATTTATTCACATATGTGTGCTTAACTACACATCAGGTGGAAGCATCACCTTTGTGGTCAGGTATACCCACTGACCCGCAATCTTACTCGCCCACTGTATAAGTGGGAGTAGTGGCATATACAGCCGTTGTCGATTCCTTCGACTCTCCAGTACCCCCATGTCGAGAACATTTTTTCTGCCGTTAGGGGGCAACAACCGCCATCTCCCTCATGAATCGTTTCCGTTTGCCCAGTATCCATGTCTACCAACGATTCATTCGATTTTTAGTGGCCAATACCGGCCACTTCCGGGCACCACTTGACCTATCAACATACTTCCTGAGTGACCACATGGGTCACGCCATACGACTTCGTATCTTCCCTAACCTGAGGAATGTCCTTGCATGACATATAACAATGAAGTGTGGATCATTATCAGCAGCATACAACCGCCGAGCGCTTAAACAAACGCATTATTCGGTGCATTGTGATTGTGGGTTTCTCACTCCCAAAGGTTTCACCTACGCCAGGAGAGCTACTGTCAATCATTTTCGATCGACAATTAATACATGGTTCATGCATCTCAAGCCTCGATGTACCTCAAATTTGGTCGTACCGTCTGTCCATCTTGAAAACTGTGAATGCTTCCTTCCAGTTGAATTTCCGTTATCTTCAGTTGAAGATCAGCCATTACTTTCTTCGCGGCGACCACTGCACCGATGACCACCTTCACTTCGATAAAGGCGTTGCTTTTATCTAGTGCAACCGAGTGCACTCGATCTATTCCAGCAACACTTTGCTTCCGCGCAAAGTATAATGGAGATCAGATCGTCAATGATCACTCTTGCCAACTACGCGGTGCGCCAGAGTCAAGCAAGACTTTAAATGGACGACCGCAACCTTTATCACTCGCTGTGACCGCGAGGTGACCACTTCGTCTTGTGTCGTTACCGAAGGACGACAATTCTTGAACGCTAAACCCTCGTGAGTGACACGATAACCAGTTTATATTTGCCCCAGTTGATCGCCCTGCGTCTACTGGGTACTGGTGTTTCCCGAACGCTTCGTGATATTGGTATCACGTGGCTCGGAACCACTACGACGAGAACCGTATCAAGAGGTTCGTCTCACAAGTAGACAATTACGGTGATTGTGATCGAATTGCTTACATCCGTAACTTCGAATTTTCTGCCAATGGACTATCACCGCGCTAATATCCGTTGGTTCCGGAACTCCGGTAGCAGCAGTCACTGCTTTCATTGGGTTGACCGAGTGATCACATGCTTGACGCTGAAAGAAATGCAATCATAATTGCATCCTCCAGAGTCGTCGGGCTCTGGTGAAAGACTTCAGTCTTAGGAGGACCCTAAGTGAGTCCCTATAAAAACACAGTGACCATCACTGCCTCTGGCAGTGGTTTGCTTGCCATTCTAGCACGAAGCTCACGGAGCTTTTGTACATAGTCGTACAATGTCTGTTGTCTTAACGGCACGACAAAAAGCTTCGACCGTTGTCAAAACATCACATTCGGCGAAAGGAACATGGACTCCATGGCCCTCTTTAATTCTTGCCATATGGTAAAGTAGCCGATGCGGTTGACTTCCTATGTCGTAGCCCAATCTTTCGAACGGCCATCCAAATGCGATATGGCGAAGACCACTTGACTGCGGCTACAATGGATTCGGGCCATCGCGGTAGCAATGTCTATGTTTCGAAGCCAAAAAGCAAGATTTTCATCTTCATTAATGTGAAAACTTAACACCTTCATTTTAACAAGACATTTTGCCTGTACCGAAGGTTGTACAACCACTTTTGGTGGAGGCGACGGAGCCGGCGTCGGTATGTTAGATCCCAATAATCTTTCAATATACGCAGCTAAATTTGTAAAGCGCTGAGTTATCACATCTGAATCTATTTGGAGCATGTCGAAGACCGCGTGATCTCCGATCAAAGTACGCAGCTTGACTACACACTCCCATTGCTAGTGCGCTACGAACGAATATCCCTCCCTGTCGATCCGAGGGCAACCACCGCTCGTGGTGTCCACATTATCCATAGATGAATCCATTGAAGTAGTCGGCATTGGAATGAAGTGAACGGAAATTGCCGGTCCATACACACGCACTTACTGAGGAAGACGTAAATTGGTTACCACGCTTCAAAGCACGTCGCTCGCTTCCGGCAAGCTGTCGATTTGCATGAATATGGAAAAAGAGTGAAGTGACACTTATTATGGCCAAGAGGCTTTAAACCTTCCCTTAACTGACAAGTGCCTTCGGATAGAAGAACAAAGGAATATACAACTATGCAAGATATATAGCTCATATTAATCACAAAAAGTATGTGGTTCACACAACAGGGGTAATGGGACTGACCCGAATACAGCTTGATTAGGCGTGTAGCTATCAAATGTGGTGCTGTCAAACCAGCACTAGTATTGATCTGGTTCTGATTGACCCAACAGTTATGTCAGGGGGCTACTCGTAGTGCTCGCTCTGAACAATTCAGTGCATTCGTCTACCGGCTACACGCCTTTGTAGGTGAACGGGCTCGTTCAACCTCACGTCCTGCTGACGTCGCTATCCCATGGATCAAGGCTTAGTGGGGGAGGAATATCCGAGTCGCTAGCTGATGTCAGCCCTCTCACTGTTCGCAAGGAAGCCAATGACTTCCTGTCTTCCAGACTGAGTGTCTTACGACACATTCGCAATGCGATGGCTGAAAGCCAAGTATTATGCAGACGGAAAAGAATGAAGAAATGCTTTGAGGTCGGAGACCTGGATTTATAAAACGCTTACAAACTCCCAACCCATGCAATTTCTAGCAATTTCTAAGACAAAGCTCTGTCCACGGTTTATCGGACCTTTTAAGGTCGTGACCAAGCGAGGCTTTGCTTATACGCTGAACCTTCCGTGGAGGATGCGCTTCCACCCGGTGCTCTATGTGGGCTTGTTTAAGCCGTACCGGGATCCGGCGCAAGTAAATGCGGAAGCGTTGGCGCCGGGGCGGCGCCCAAAGGCGCTCGACCACCCAGAAGCTGAACCAGCAACTGGTTATGAGCACGGAATGCAACAACTTCCGTTTTCAACGGCACAAGGCGCTGCACCGTCACGCGAAATGACGTATTCGCTTTCTTGGCGGCTGGGGCCGCTCCGACAGAGCTCAATAATCCTCACCGCAAAGCAGTTGGTGCACAAATTGATCTAGACTCTCAAGGCGTTCCGCACAGAGGTAGGCGACGTCGGAGAGATGCTCGGTAGAGTGCCGATGTCGACGGATTTTGTCCGTCAACGCTCAAGGAGCATCACGAGTCACCTGACAGCGATCGACCAAGTCGTCATTGTCCGCCGCCGACTCTTCTTGATGATAATAGAGGCGTCCAATACCACGTGAATCGCCTTGTAGGTCGGCTTCGTCGACAGGGTCTAACCCAATATCCTGTGAAGTGGCGGGGATACCCAAACTCCGAGAAGTCAGAGGAGTTCGAGGTGCCACTTCGGCAGACGTCGTGGACGCTTATGATCAGAAGGACCATGACGCTTCGCGTCGTCATGCACCCCGCGCTTCTCGGCAATAGCTTAAGAAGCGAAGAGCCATGAGCTGAGCTAAAGCTATGCCTTAAGCTGCTGTAGTCCTTTTCTCACCCATATGAGAAACCACAGAGCTCGCGGGACCGTGATGGATGATTTCATGTGTCGCAAGGCGACAATACGCAGGAAGTCGGCGTTACGCCTTGAGTTTGGCAAACTTAAATCGAAGATGGCGCTACACGCGCACATCCACTTCCTTGTGGATTTGCTGTAAGGTCGACAGCGAAGAGAGTTTCCGGTGCCGCTGCACCCATCGCTCAAAGAGCTTATCGTCATCTGCAGCGGTTTCACCAGGGGCGAGCACCACAGGGATGGTCCGCTATGCGGGAGCAAGAGCAGCTCCTTTTTGACCTTGAAGTCGAGCGCGGTACCGATCCATTGGGATCTCGTGTAGTACCAAAAAGCGAGTTCGCAGAACTTTCCGCAGATCAAGCTAAGCTTGTGTACTGACCGGGGGTCCGACTACGTGGACGCCCACCAACCGAGTAATCGCGTCTTTCACTTCAGTAGCAGGATTCGCCGAGCGGATCTGTAATGGAGTGACATTTATCCTTGTAAGAAAGGGCGAATCTCACAAGATTGTGCGACCGTACGTAGGTGTGTATTACACAGTTAGTGTAACAACACAGTGGTGTGGCTACACCGCAGAATGCGTTAAAGCTCAACCCCAAACGAGTTCACCCTTCTGGAGCTATGTTCAGCTTTCCATATCAAGGCGAAACATTAGCTTAGTTTTAATGTGTGTGCCTTTGCAGTCACGCTCTACTGAGTGTTGTCGTAAGGACGACTGCCATTATGGCAGCAAGCATTATGGAGTTCCATATTAAATCTGAACATCAGCCCAATGTACGCAAATACTATGGAGCAACATAATTCTTTGATTTCTAACTTGCTTTATTGCCAATACTACAAATCGAAGAAATTTACAAAAGGGAAGAGTTTTATTGCCATTGCCACACTATAAAGCAAGTTAGAATACATGAAATTAATTTCAGAGAATGCATTTTACTGAAAAAGATGCGGAAAAAGGCAGATAGAATATTTATAAGCGTCAAACCGCAATATTTTTGCCGCGCAGCTTACACAAATAAAAGCTCTTCATGCTAACGTATTGACTTTGTGAAAGAAGGATCGAGTCGAGTAGCCGATGGTGAGCTAAGAAAAATAAAATCCTAACTACTGATTAGCTTTATTAAATTTCGAAGCAAAATTAATTTAAGTATACTTTGTGTATACCAACAATTGGTTGCCGACTCGATTTGACATAAACTAGTATTTAAATCTGCTTAGGTTTTTCAAGACAGTTAGGATTATTGTTTTCTACTACAATCGTCTTGATGCCAAAGTATGTGTCCTGAATGTGTACCTTTTTCTTTAGCTGCTCCATTCGCACATATTGCATAAAAATTGGACCATAGTACGTTGAGATACCAGTAAACATGTGCCACCTGGAGCAAATAATCAAACCATAAATATATCATACGCTTTTAGTCAGGCAGATAAACGTACCATGCGTGACCTTGTGGGTTGATGGGCAGTCCACGAACGATGTGACAGTAGTGATAGTCCATCATCCACAGTGCAAAACCAATAAGGCTAAACGTGACGTAAGACCTCGCCACCGCACGAGCCCTTGGATCCTTTACCTCTGTATAATGCACACATAAACGTGCAGCACCAACTACCGCCAACAGGCCAAAGAACACTTGGAAGACTGTCGTAAACCGATACACTGCATGAACCACCGTGAAAATGATCCCAATTATCGTCAGAAGGATGATAACGTAAGTGCTGGCGTTCTTAATTGGAATTTGCTCAATCTCGTTGTTATGAACAATGTAATTCCAAATTAAAATGGACCACACCATGGGCGTCTCGTCACACTGCTGGTATACATGCTGCAGTGTACCGTGAAACATGGCTGATCCAAAGCCGGTGACCATAACGCCAATAAATTGCAAGTGAAATCGCGGCTCAAATCCCATTTTAATACTGCGGTAAAGACCATAGAGCCCAAGTAGTACAAAGAGCGAATTGCTGATGGTGTTCCAAAACTCGGCAATGTAGTAACTATGCTCATAGTTGTTCTCACACCAGTCTATAGTGGACGTTGGCGGCCCCCAAAAGCCCACGAGCGCGGATGAACGCATGCTATTTGCTGCCATATTGCCAATTTATTAATGAAAATAGATTGCAAATGTGACTAGTGCGTCGTTACATCGCTGATATTCAATCTCATGATGCCTTTGAAGAAACATGCTGCACATCTATCTACTCTATTGCTCGACTCCAACGTTCTAATCATATTAGGATGTATCGAAAGAAGTTTCGAGAAGCTAGTGCAATGAGCATTAGGTTACGACAGATGGTGATATGCCAGAAGGTATGATCAGTTTTCTTTGCTTTTTATATAGAGACATACTAGTCTGGATGTATTACTAATCGCAGCCTACTTTGTGGATCATTGCTGTCGTCCGCCTGTTGATATTTCCCTCCTTTAATTCTATGTAATTTCTTCTTGCATCCTACGACCATTGCGCCTTCTATCCCAACCTGATGAAGATCGACCTAAATTTTAGGAAGCTATTTTGCAAAATTAGAATGCAATATTGTATTATAGACTTTAGTAACTTTTGAGTCAGTTGTGACGAATTTTGTAGTAATCATGCCCCGTATGTGGTAAGCTTGTAGCAATCAAATTTCTTGCTGACACATCGGGTACCAGAGACTGCCCACTTTTCACGTAGCGCTTGTCATATTGCGTGATTGTGCATACAACAAACACGCAAGGTGGCAGAGACAAAACAAAATCAATACGAATTACGACAACCGCCTTATATGAAAACTGTGCTGATCGCAGATTGGAGCGAGCAGACCACGAACAAGACATTTATTTAAACGAACGGGATACTTCAATTAATCTCGTTAGTAATACGACGGCGTGCAACATAGCCCCTCACCGACAAGCACGTGCGCAGATGATTCCCGCGATTAAAGTTTACAATTTTTTGGTCTTTGCGGGGCTCACCGGATCAACGACGATGGTCTCGATACCGAAACAGATTTCCTGAATGCGAGCGTTTCTCTTGAGCTGCTCCATTCGAACGTATTGCATAAATATTGGCCCATGGTATGATGAGACTCCCATGAAAATATGCCACCTGCCAACATTAAAAATAAGAATCAGTGAGAAACACCTAACTGTAGGTACATGCGCGCAGCAACATACCAGGCGTGTCCTTGGGGGTTAACAGGAAGATTACGAACCACTTGACAGTAGTGGTAGTCCATGAGCCAAAATACTAGGCCGATTAGACCGAATGCCACGTATGACTGCGCAACGGCGCGTGCTCGAGAGTCCTTTATATTAGTGTAATGTACGCAAAGACGCAAGCACGCTGAAATAGCAAAGACACCGAAAAAGACCTGGAAGGCTGTTGTAAATCGGAAAATAGCGTGAAGCACAGTAAAGACAGCGCCGATCAAGGTGAGAAATGCGATGACGTAGCTTTCGGCATTCTTAAGAGGTATTTTCTGAATCTCGTCAGTATAGACAATGTAATTCCACACTAGAATGGACCAAACCATTGGCGTCTCGTCACACTGTTGATACACATGCTGAAGCGTTCCGTGGAACATGGCTGACCCGAAGCCCGTAATCATCACACCGAGAAATTGCAAGTGAAAGCGTGGCTCGAACTTCATCTGAATACTGCGATAAAGACCGTAGAGCCCAAGCACAACAAAAAGCGCGTTGCTTGTAGTATTCCAGAACTCGGCAATGTAGTAGCTTATCTCGTAATTGTTTTCACACCAGTCGATAGTAGAGGTTGTAGGCCCCCAATAGCCTACGGATGCGGACGTGTTGATCACGCGCATACTACGCGCAGCGATGGACATGGTGGTTAGTAGCTACGGTGCTAAACAAATTATCACTGTATGACAGCCGAGACATCAACGCAATTATCTGACACAAATCGAATTATAATTAACAAGAGGTACCTCGTTACTGTATAAGCATCATACTTATTACATACACATTGATTGTTCTCTGTCAACATCATAAAATCACAAGGCGTGGATCCAACGACATCGTCGAGTATGCATTATCAGCAAAATTTTTGGCATGAATGTTGCCTCTCCGTTTTGTCACCAACGAGATTGTGTGCTGTATGAATGTGCTTATTCGTGCCATACTACAAATACTACGTGACAAGTGGTCTTTTCAGAATTAGCGTTATGAATGTCATTTTACAGCTATATTTATCGACAAAGTCGTTTACAGCAAATTGCTACCTAAAAATTGAAACAATGTGATGTCGAATAAGACTTTCTTTGTAACTGCTGCAATGGTCAAAGCCACGGCGGACAATTTTAGAAAATTAATTGTGTTAAAAGTAGGTAGTGATCCAATTGCAAACAGGCGGCAAAACAGTTAACAGTCACCACATAAATTGTCGTTTCGCGGAACTTCTTCAATAACAATAAAATGATCTAATTTGACAAAAGAAGTTTATCTTATCGTTTGAAAAGACAATAACGTCCTAATCTAACAAATCACTACACACTCTTTTTCAATCCATTTTTCGAGATCATCGAGGCACTGACCATGGAAAGTATAGCTTGTTCACCTCGCAGTGAGCTCCAAACAATTCTTTATAGCAAAAATCTCTGTGCTTTCACTAAATTTCTGTGATCCGCTTGTAATTGGCTTAAATTCACATAGTAGATTCTATTTTAGCGTTATGGCGCTTAGTAAACCCATGGAAATGCTAGCAGCGGCCATCGCTGCGGGTTGTGGTGGATTTCTCTCCACAAGTATTCTGTATCCACTCGATACTATTAAGACACGAATGCAGTCTGACACTCCTTTGCTGCCCAAGGATGATGACAAGACAACTACTTTTAACAAGCATTTAACGCTAGTTAAGTCGTTGTATCAAGGTATCCAGTATAAGGCATTGGAGTCGTCTACCTCCAAGTTTATTTACTTTTATGCGTACACAATGCTGGCTCATAAGGTGCTGCCAAAGAATGGCAAACCCCAAAGCACGATCACAAATCTGGGCATTGGCTACCTCAGCGAGCTGTGCCATCTGCCAATCACAATGCCAATGCAGCTAGTGGGAACACGCATACAGACTGGCTCTGACCCTTCCAGTATTCTTGGGATCATACGCTGTGTTATTAAGGAAAGTGGCGTTGGGGGTCTTTATAAGGGACTTGGAGCCTACTTTGTGCTGTGTTTACAGCCAGCAATTCAATATACGATTTTTGAGCGACTCAAAAGTATATACTTGCGCAAGTATGATGTGGCATCACAAACACTTGGCGCGCTAGAGGTGAGAAACAAAACAATTAGAAGTTATGTTTAGTTTAATATTATACGCTGTTGCTGTTGCAATAGGCGTTTGTGCTTGGAGCTCTTGCGCGGTCAATCGCGACACTGACGCTGTTTCCGTATATTCGAGCGAAGGTGCTGATGCAAGTGAATAAGACGCAGATAGCTGCGACTCAGCTCATCCGAAATCAAACGGACACATGTGCTGAGTCTGGCAAAGAGACCATCATGTCGACGCTGTTGCGCGTGTACTCAGAAGAGGGTCCATTAGCTCTCTACCGGGGTCTTGGGCCAGAGATTACCAGGGTGCGTTGTGTGGCAGCACTGGGACTAATAGCTGACTGACTAGTTTTGGCTGACTTTCAGGGGGCACTTTCGTCAGCACTGATGCTTATGATTAAGGAAAAGATTCAAATGTACATTACGCTGCTTATAATTGTTGCCAATTCGTCGTAGATGCCTTTATCATATAGTGAAATGGTTGTGGAGTCGAACTTTGAATCATTTTATTTGTTTTGCCAATCACCAAATTTGAAAATCTTGATGAGTGTCAAATACAAGAGTCATTCACTGCGTTAAGAACCCCAAAACATGAAGTCGTAGCTTGTTGACTAGAGCACTACTACCTGCTTGCCATAGCCATAAGATCCGACATTATCTTTAGCGTATTAGCTGTAGACCAAGTAGACACAAGCATATTTGATGTTATTGATATCCTGGTTCCCGCGAATATATCTTTTTGAACAAATCCGCAGCTGACCCCTGCGTTTCGAGAGCACTTTCATACTAGCACGAAAATGAGTAGCCGACCATCTGGCTGATCAAAACGTGCTTTCGAAGAAACTGTGTTGTGTGTCGGGCGTTCAGCGTTGACTTTCTGATGAACAATTTTTCTCATTTCCTTAGATTGATGATAACGTTCAAAGCCATCAAATCACACATCAGATCATATAGGTGCTTTTGCAATGCGCGAAAGTCAGCAATTACGCTCATTTTAACTTAATCGCATGCGACTCAAATCAAGAAATTACAACTTTATGTCGGTTAATCGACAAAAGTGTGATCATCGACAAAAGTGTGATCAGTGCCATTAAAGTTTGGGGTAGTGCTGAATAGAGATGCAAAAAGAACAAAACTAAGTCACTTCTTTCAGTCATGGCCGATCACCTGATTTTCATTGTGCCTGATCTTATTGCTGTACTGCCAGCCGGATGGTCAGACTGAGAAGGTCAACCTTGTGGCAGAAAGCACACCGCGAACTGAGCACCTATTCCCGCACAAATCGAACTTGTTCCTTTTAGTGACCAAATTTTGATATCTTAGAAGTGTATATGTTTCTGATGTAGCACCATCCAAGTGCTACCCGCCTTGCGGGCGGAAAGTGCACGATTGATCTGTCGTGTTGTTTTTCATGATTGAATACTACCAAAAGTCATGTTTACAAATTTAAGTTAAAACTACTAGATTTTCATCAAACTTCATTCATGAGCGTATCGATTACCGCAACTAAATTGTACAGTTTAGATAAACATTCCTTGAGGTTTTGTGAGAGACAAATTACGTAATAGTATCGGTCGCAATTTTTTGCTGAAGCTAGTTAATACTACTCCCTTAGGTTTTACCAAAAACCTCGGTTTGCTGTTAGAGCCCGCCCAAAGCCCATATTAATCATTAGCTTCGCTCATATCTACATTTTTTTTTCTTTCCTTTGAAGGCATCCGTGTTTAAGGTTGCGTCGTGTTTAACTAGCCAAAAACCACAGAATCGCTGCATGTGATCCAATACATCGAGGCCTTATCCTTTCGGCATTTCTTTTTAGTGACTGTCCACTTGAAAAGACGCTTTTCTCTCTCAATCACGACGGCCATCATGAATTGTCTTCCTTTTGTATACAACCAAGTAGAGATGTTAGTATATACAATATTCCCATAGTTTGAACCTTCGATTTATTGCTTACATATCTTTCAAATTGAACACAGCAGCGAATCAAGCACCGATTTGGGTAGTCAGTCATATTCTTAACTTCGCCGAGCATCATAGCTGCAACATCCTCCAAGTCAATTTTTCAAGAAACTGAGCGCCACGGTCTCTTCTTCCAATTCTATTGTTTCGCCAAGATTGCACAGCTCAACTATCTTCTGTATAAGTAATTGATTTCTGCATGCCCCACGGCATAGCGTTTTGACATGCTTGAAAAACCTACTTCACCACAATCACTTTTTGTGTCTCTGACACGCATTCTTGAGTAGCCAATTACTAACTTGTGGCTTTGTACTTTCCTCACGTCCGAATTCGTCGCATACAAAAATTTCCATTACTAAATGCTATTGTAGAACACAAGTTAGATATTGCGCACTTCATTTTGAAGTTGTGTCGAGATTTAAAGCGAAAGACCAAACAAATGCTCGTATCAACGTTATTCTGGTATTTGCACTTTCCAAATTAAAAAGTTATCAGCGTTAAGCTTTTCCTCCTTTTGCTTTGTTTTATGACTTTTGTATGAGACCCACAATGTGGTTGCCAACGCTGTAAATGTAGTAGCCAGTTACGCTCGTCACGAGTAGTAGAAAAGAGTCTGTAAGAATCATTGAACTGTTAGCATAACACAGTGCTTACTGAAGTAGATACTCAACGCACTAAATATGGCAACCTCCCACCAGCTGAGCATAGTGAGACCAAACTCGAGCTTGTACCAGCGGTACTGACGCGCGACGTATTCGAACATATCAGCTTTTTGCTACTTTAGAAAGTTGAGTTTTATCGAGACTTGCATAACTTACTATTTATTTTCAAAGTTTTGCTTATTTTAAGTAGAGGAAATTACAATTATGGTCACCTTTTTTAGACTATTACGCCTCTATAAAGTTCAATTTTGAAAATCGACGAAAGGTGTGGATAGACCACTTACTGCACATTTCAATTGCGAGTGGAGGAGAGGCAACAAAATTAAATCACGAAAACCCCATATTGGCGGACTTGTATCTGTCACGGGAAATACAACGTGGACAGTCAATTGAAACTGCTTAGATACATTGATGCCACGATCTCTGTCGCTTCTAAAGTTATAGAGCAAGCGTAGTTTTGTAGCTTTGATGTATCAGGGTTTTACATACCCTGGTAACAATGGTGTGTGTCACACCGGATGAACATGGTGTGACCACACCCAAACAAGAATACGGTACCGGAGTTTGTACATGTATTTAGATTTTACTATCCATATTTAGGAAAATCTATGCATTTAAAAATTAGGCGGCTTTGCCGCAAATAAAAATAAATTAAAGTCAGTTTTGAATTTAAACCGAAGGGTTAATTAGCCTTGGGTTCGGGCTGTAATTACTCTTGGAGTAAGCGGATTGCGATCCGCTAAACTCGTACTTGTATAGAGTGAAAGGTCGGTGACCAAATTTACGCTTCCTCTAAGCGCAAAGCTACGGCAGCCGCGCTGCACTTGGTAGCTTTTGTAGTCAATCCACACCTCAGTCGTTTGGACTGATTCTCCGTGAAGATGAAAGAATATTTCTCTTTGCTCCGGGGCATGCAGGACGAGCTTAAAAAGCTGATGTCCTTGCTGGGCCCTGAGGGCGTGCAACACCTTGCTGTGCAAGGCCCCAAGGCAATCGGTGCGCGTCTAGAGGCGTTTTTAAATTACGAAAACGCGCTGCTAGAGCA